TTCTTCACGGGATTCGGCGCGCGAGTTCAACATAGAGGCATTGGACCCGCTCACGTCTGAGGACTTTGCATGGCTTCCTCTCCCGACCACCGGCCGATTGCCGGGACCGCAATGCGCAACACTTAGCGCTAATCTTACCTATCCTTCTATGCACCACCAACTTCGCCGACGGATGACGAAGTCGCGGTGGGGGACATCTTGGCGTATACTACCAAGGTGGCCCGCGAGTTTCGCACGCAGCGGTACGATGACAACAACGCACCGTTGATGTATGTCCGCATTCAGGTTGGGCAAGCGTCCTGCAGCGCTTAGCTGGATAGCGGCGCGACTCGCAACTTCATGAGCCAATCCTTTATGCAAAGGGCTGGCCTTGGCGCACAGGTTCGGAGGAAGGCAATCCCGACGGCAATCAAGTTGGCGGACGGTAAGACGCAGCAACTTCTCGACCGTTACATCGAGGCCGTACCGGTCTACTTCGCACCTCATGCATGCGAACCGGTCACGTTCGATATTCTCGACATGGACTTCGACATCATTCTGGGAATGCCTTGGCTTGCAAGTGCGGATCACATGGTCAACTTCCATCAGCGGACTCTTAGCGTTCGCGACGCCTTCGGCGCGGAAGTGGCGTGTACTGTTCCTCTACCGCACTCTTCGATCCGGTGCCAAGTGGTAACGGCCAAATCATTCCGGGCGACTTGTGCCTACGAGCAGCCCGACGAGATCGGCCTATGTTTCCTACAGACCGTCGCGGTAGCCGACTCTTCCCCCACGGACTTGTCTTCGGACCCCCGTGTGGTGCGGTTGCTGGACGAGTTCGCCGATATCTTCGAGTCACCTATCGGTGTGGTGCCGGATCGGCCGATCTCTCACGAGATCATTCTTGAGGCCGGTGCTGTGCCGCCGAAAGGTTGCATCTATCGGATGAGCGAGGAGGAGCTTGAGGTACTCCGCGCACAACTCGATGATTTGTTGGCCAAAGGCTGGATCCGCCCGAGCAGCTCCCCATATGGAGCACCTGTTCTCTTCGTCAGGAAGAAGAACAAGGATCTACGATTGTGTATCGACTGCCGCAAGCTCAATGCGCAAACCATGAAGAATGCGGGGCCTCTTCCTCGCATCGACGATCTTCTCGAGCGACTGGGCGGCACAAATTATTTTTCCAAGTTGGATTTGAAATCGGGATATCATCAAATCTCGATCCAGCCGCACGATCGCTACAAGACCGCGTTCAAGACACGGTACGGGCATTTTGAGTGGGTGGTCATGCCTTTTGGCCTCACCAACGCCCTGGCGACGTTCCAGGCGGCGATGACCAACGAGTTTCGTGCAATGTTGGACCGGTTCGTGCTGGTCTACTTAGACGATATTCTCGTCTACAGCCGGTCATTGGAGGATCATCTGGGGCACCTTCGACGAGTGTTGGAGACGCTCCACCGCGCCAAGTACAAGGCCAACCGCGACAAGTGTGAATTTGCCCGGCAGGAGCTGGAATACTTGGGCCATTTTGTCACATTGGAGGGCATCAGTCCGCTATCGGACAAGATTCAGGCCGTCCAGGAGTGGCCGGAGCCTTGGAACGTCACGGAAGTTCGCTCGTTCCTTGGTCTTACCGACTACTATCAGCGCTTCATCGAAGGCTACTCCAAGATCGCGGCCCACTTGAACAAGCTTCAGTGCGAGGATCGTCCGTTTGACTTTCGAGAGGAGGCGCGGGGATCATTCCTCGCTCTCAAAGCCGCGCTATTGTCTGCGGAGGTCTTGCGAATCTACGACCCGCTCGCACCTACGCGTGTCACTACGGATGCGTYASGATATGGCATTGGTGCAGTCCTCGAGCAACATGATGGTGTGGACTGGCACCCGGTCGAGTACTTCAGCAAGAAAGTGCCCCTCGTGCATTCCATCGACGATGCACGCAAGAAGGAGCTCCTCGCCTTCGTCCACGCGCTCAAGCGGTGGCGGCACTTCCTCCTTGGTCGAAGCCAATTTCGCTGGGTAACGGACAACAATCCGTTGGTCTTCTACAAGACCCAGGACA